ATACCTTACTGAGCCAATAAAAGCGCTGGTCCTGAAGGTCAACTTTCTCTCTCATTTTGACTCGCGGCTTAGTCGTGGAGTTTCGGATTCGTCTCGCATGTGAAGCTACTTTGAGAGCGTATCCGATGCGATGCGTGGGAAACCGCATGAAACGGTCATTAGGTTTGCCGGAACAAGAATGGTATCCAAGGAAAGTTGAATTCATACATTTCTTTAGTGAAAAGAAATAAGGTGACTCAGTCCGCTTGTGGTAAAGCTTGCAGCCATGCTTAGCGCCATACGGAAGAAGGGACAGATACCTTTGGAATGGTGATTCGCAGCAATTAATCTTATCTTAATAGAAGGCACAGGACCTCCTGTGAAAACGACAGCCATTAGCTCTACCGCCGTCGAAGGAAACAACCTACAAATCTCGTACTGTGGCGACTATTTGGTCTTAGTGAGAGTTGAAACGCTGAAACACAGAAATTGTACCGCATCAAATTTCGCACCGAAATGTCGCCAAACGACTGTTTTCTCAAACTCTCCTCGAACGCGGTTGTGTCCAGTAACCGAACGACATACAGAATACGCGGGTGACAGTGATAGAGCGGTAGGTCCATCATCAGTACAATGGATTTTGCACAGACTAACGCAGAGCGTTGAACGATGCGGCACATCATTTGCACCTTCCTAGTGCAAGGTGTCAGGTATGTATGCAGCTTCAAAAAGTAGCAAACATCAAACAAGATGCTCAAAACGCCCCATCTTCGATGCGTCGTCCGCGGTGTCATACCATGTACTCATGACTATTCGCTGGACAAAAGTCCCTGTTTTAACCAGGCGCAATGTCACATGTGTAAGAGTCTATCTGAGGATATTGACACTACAACTAAAACAGAGATGAGTCGTTAAAGTAAACAAATCGGTTCAATGACGCCGCGAGTTATCATGGCTGCCTCAGAGACACCATAAGTAGAAAACACTGACGTGAACGTCGAGGGGAATTGGGGTTCCACAGGACTTACCGTCGGATGCGAAATCTACAAATGGAGGTGGATGTTTTTCCGCACCATAATCTGGCGGCCCAGGTTGTACACGCTCCTGACGGACAAAACGTTGCACCTCGGTGCCCAGATTTTGTAACCTTCTGAGCTGACTGATGGCCTGATTGTTCAAGCTGTGTGCTCTGGCACGCAGGCTTGGATCTTGGGCTCCACTCTCTAAGGTTCTAGAAAAAGAAAGTCGTGTTTACATAAGTGGAAAGTTCCATCAATTCACAATGCGCACTGAAGAAAGGACAGCAGGTATCGCACACATGGCGGTTGAAGAAGTGTCGATCAATAGGGCGTTGGAAAAATGGTGCAAGGAACCAAACTGAAAGTCAACAGGAAAAATAAAAACGGTTCAAACAGTTTTGCAATCGAAAGGTCGAGATGAGTGGCGTGATTGGCAAGGTGTGCGATAAGCACAACTATTTATAAGGCATCAGCAGTACCGACACTGCGTTACCACGCAACCGCTGCCAGCCGCGCGTGAGCTAAGGATAATGTCAGGGTCATCCGCTTCCCTACACTGGCACGAACCCGCCATTTTCGGATTACAAAGCAGACGTGAGATTCTTCCGGCCACGAGCCGACTAAATGGAGGTCTCCCGAACGGTCACGAACCCCAAACATACGATTGCCAGTGAATCATACCATCGCGGCGTGACAATTAGCTAGGAATGACTATGAACAGAATCGACGCTGGTAACTAACTCAGCTCACTGAGTACGCTTGTCATGTGTCGGTAAACGTTCGCAGCATATATTAAGGACATGTTAACATGGTATTTTAGGATCCGCATTATAAGTCGAATCCTGTGGCATTCAGAGCAAGCATTCTAAGCGGTCTGTGATGGGGGTAGGGAAAGTTATAGTAAATAGATCAAAGGCTACGGATGTCGTAGAACAGCTCTCAGGATAGAAAGGGTTGAAGATGAGTGATTGGTGCAACTCGCCTGTAACAATGCACACCGGCATATCGTACCGACACTTCGATGTCAGGTGACCAGCCGCGCTGGGGGTGAGTGTATATCCCGAGGCCGCTTGCATTTATGCGGAGTCGAACCGGTGTCCGTAATCGTTTGTGTATGTGGGGCAGAAACAGCAGAAGTGTGACCAGTGCCCGAGATGAAGAGATTGTCTACTATGCCCCATATCACCGACTCCAGGGATAACGCCTACCACAACAGGTGCTCACCGTTTTGGAGTAACTAGAAACACCTGTTATGTGAAAGGAGTGTGACACGTCATCGCAATTAGCCGCGATCAAATGACAAGTACCGCTTCAGTCATGAAAAGACGGCCAAGTAAACAAGCTCGTTTTCGGTGATTCATCGACAGACCATACTTATCCGATATCGAATCTCTGCAGTGCTGGAGGCGACCGCGATTCGTATCAACAACTTCACGTTGTGTTCATAAACACTGAGTCAATGCTTTGTATTCAAGGCCAGCAGTCGTGCGAGTAGCTTTCGCGTGAACGATTCCCCCTATTATGGTGATTTTGGCAATTTCATTTTCTAGCTATTCAAACCATTCTTTCTGTACTACTGTGTTGTAACTGGCCCGAAGATAAATAAACGAAAAAGAGCTTGTTTACTTGACCTTTTTTCACAACCGCAAAGGCTCGGAACCTTATTAATCGTAATGACAAATCTTTCCAGTGACCCCACGGCGTATGAACGAAAGCCTCAGCCCGAAATCCAAACGAATAGCTACAAGAAGCTACCTTTGCAGCGCACCATGACAAGTGGAAGCCGCAAGAGTTCTCTATATCTTCCTTTTTACACAACTTCGTGATTCATACAAGCACAAATGATTCCACATTTCTTGCCTTTCCCGAGGCAAATCCCTACCGAATGACAGCTTGAAAAAGCCCAAGTGATCAGATGATAGAGCATTTATAGCATCCGTCACGAGAATGTCATATTTTAGGTCACAAATACTCGCGCGCAGCGCCCATGCCAAACCCAATCAGGTTTCCGTATATACCTAAATCAGTCAACTTTACTCCTGAGCGTTTTAGTAAACTACGCTACGTATTCGGTAGTGCACAACCGTATGCTCGTCTTCGGTTTGAGGCGGTAGGAATGCTCCTGCTAAAGACAGGGCTTGGTGGTTCTGGGGTTTGTGGTCCAATTGTGAGCCACGCTAGTCATCTCGCACTATTCATCGTTTGTGACGATACTCCATGTGGACAGCGGTCCTCTCCAGTGAAGTCTAGTTGGCAGTCCACAAATCAGTGGGCCACTTTGCGAACAGCACTACTCAAAATCCCTTGAGACAGCTCAATCGTGTCTTCGTTTTTCCTGCGGTTGGAAATACTTTGGAGTTAAGTGGTGTACTGCGAAATAGAAGGGATTTCATCGACAATCTTTCTGGTAGTACCGGAACTGCAGTTGGTTTGAGTATAAGTGGTAACCAAAAACAACCGGAGGCCAGCTTTGATCGGCGTGCTAATTTTGTTGTGTTTTGCCCGACGGGTTGAACACAGATAGTAATCCAATCAATCAGAGAGGATTCGACTCTAAAGTCGAGAAAAGTACCCACTTCGGCTCAACCAGTGTTACTTTGGCCAGAAGTGCGTAACAAATAGTGAAGAGGGTTAGGTGCAGTTAGTTAGAAAGACTCGTGCGAGTGAGAAATTCTCGCTTCAGGGATGCAGAAAGCGTCAACGCATAGAATCTCTAACCTGCATGTAAGTGCAGCCCATTGCCCAATTCGTCTAAGAACACTAATCTCGAATTCCGCAAACGAAATCGGGTATTGTGGACTGAGAGATCTTAGGATGGTGCCATGTTGTTCATGTCAAAATATAGTAATATGATACAATCGCGGTGGCATTGAGGCAGTCGCCACTTAAGAAATCAATGTTAGATTGACAAATGGGGATAGGAATGAATGTAGGCCAAACAGGCAAAAAGGACGCTGGTGGCAGCTTATTCTCCCTGTCATTTGTAGCCGATAAAGCGATAGTTTGAAACCGCGCTATGCAAAATGAATTCAAAGTTTACTGAGAATATCACAGTTGCATGTGAGATGGAATGAGAACGATTGGCGTCCCATATAGAAGATTTTGGCTGGATAGCATTATTGCAAGCAGCAGGAGTGTAGCCCACAAGGAAAAGTGAGTCATTCCATTTGCAATCCCTAAGCCAGAGGACCAGGATAGCGAGTTCATCTGACTTTAAACAAGAGAGTAATGTGCTTGGATTAGCTCTCAAGACGACAAAGGTAGCCTTACAGTATGGTTCAATGTATCGGACAAAGACACCTACACTGCATCAACCTCCGGTCTAGCTGAATCATAACGCGATACCTACAGACCATTCTCAACAAATAAAATAAAAATCGCCAAGCTATGCATCTAGTGAAGGACGCTGCTTCGGAACCTCGAATGCAAGATGATAGCATTCCGTCATTGCATTAGCGACGAAAACCTACCAGATGTGCTCTGTCCATGGAGGCTGCTAAAGTCATATCTATACTGCCTCCAGCCGCTAGCGCATTTATCAATAGATTATTGATATATAGGCGTGAATGCTAGATAGCTTGATCACTATCCTTATTTTTACATTCGGACTAAATTGCTGTATTAGTGCATTTCAGTGACCTATAATAATATAAAAAATAATAATGTCAGTTGTACGCCGTAGCGGCGTTTCGCTGCTGTGCGACCACCATCAGTCACACGCGGGCGGAGTATACCGCGAAGACGCCCACCCCTAAGCGGATTCGAACCCGCGCCGCAAGATTACGAGACAACCTTGCTACCTCTAGGCTATGCAGATGAGTTGGGGAATATACAATGCTAAGCCATTAGCCGCTGCGTCAGTAATGATTAGGATCTACTTGATAATGTCACCTCTGTAGCCGAATCAGCCTCCCGTCACTTGAGCACCCGGATGATCGATATAAGTTGTTAGAAAAGGGCTGAAAAATAGGGCATAACCACCACCAATGCGATTACTACCCAGCTGGATGAAATCGCAAAGCGAGGACGAAAGGGCCGAGCACTCACTTTTGTACGTTCGCCAAATGTACAGAGAGATCACGCGTGGAAATGATTAGA